CTCTGGGGTTGAGGCGCTCGTCTCACTTTATTGGCCGAGGGAGCCAGCGTACAGCTTCCGGGTCATGTGGCCAGCATGACTAAGCCGCTTCTGGTGAACCAGAGCAGCACACGGAAATGCCGTTTACCTTCCCGTCAGAGCGGTACCTATTTATCTACTTGCACTTGGCGTGCTTTTGAACTGCTAGGTTGGCAGGAGCTGGGACCGAGCAACGGGAGCTCACCCCGTTGCGGGGATTCAAACCACCGACCTTCTGATCGGCAAGTCCTAGGCTCTGTGGTTTAACCCACAGCGCCACCCGCGTCCTACAGAAAACATAGTGAATGGTTTGCTGTGTATGCACCATCGTATAAATGGGGAAGGAATTCAATACACTTTTTAATGTGAACCTGCCTGATTCACATTTCCTGGGGGGGACGATGGACTGAACCACAAAGCAGCTATCCTTTGAAATTTGCACTGCTCTGATGGTTCTCCAACCGAAAAGTGTGTACAAAATGGGGGGAAGCATATGTATCTATGAGTGAAGTTAACATACCAAAAAAAATGCATTGTGCAATTAGGCAAAAGTATTGGCAAAAATAGGGACGCGGGTGGCGCTGTGGGTAAAACCTCAGTGCCTAGGACTTGCCGATCGCATGGTCGGCGGTTCGAATCCCCACGGCGGGGTGCGCTCCCGTCGTTCGGTCCCAGCGCCTGCCAACCTAGCAGTTCGAAAGCACCCCCGGGTGCAAGTAGATAAATAGGGACCGCTTACCAGCGGGAAGGTAAACGGCGTTCCGTGTGCTGCGCTGGCTCGCCAGATGCAGCTTGTCACGCTGGCGACATGACCCGGAAGTGTCTGCGGACAGCGCTGGCTCCCGGCCTATAGAGTGAGATGAGCGCACAACCCTAGAGTCTGGCAAGACTGGCCCGTACGGGCAGGGGTACCTTTACCTATTGGCAAAAATATGTATAGTAAGCAGGATTTCATAGAAGAATGTGTATAATTAGAGGGTTGCCTGTACTACAAGCAGCTATATTTCCCCCCATCTCGGTTTAGGACTAAGGGCCAAGCACATTCACGATTTGATCACTCCAGGAACTGGTAGTGACTTGTGCATGCGAATGGAGCATCTCAGATGGAACTTCGGAATCACCTCTCCCAACCATGCTTTTTCAATGTTGCACCAACACCAGAGGTGTCTGTGCAACCCTAGATTCCTTGAGAACCACAGCATGCCCTCTTTCTTGGAACACTGTGTACAGTTCTGGCCCTCTCACCAAATAGGGGAGAGTAGAGATGGAGAAAGTTCAGAAAGGGGCAACCAATGTGACCAAAGGGTTGGAGCAAATGCCCTATGAGGAAAGGTGAAAACATTTGGAGCTTCTTAGTTTCAAAGAAAAGTGAGTAAGGGGGCGCATGATAGTAGTGTATAAAGATGGTCATGGTATAGAAAAAGTAGATAAGTAGTTTTCTCCTGCCTACACTAGAACTTGGGGTCATCCAATGAAACTGAATATTGGAAGATTCAGGAAAAGACAAAAGGGGATCTCTCTTCACACAGTGATTAATAATAATAATAATAATAATAATAATAATAATAATAATAATTAGTTAAACTATGAAATTCACTCCTGCCTGCTATAGTACAGTGGTACCTCGGGTTACATACTCTTCAGGTTACATACACTTCAGGTTACAGACTCCACTAACCCAGAAATAGTGCTTCAGGTTAAGAACTTTGCTACAGGATGATAACAGAAATCGTGCTCCGGCGGCGTGGCGGCAGCAGGAGGCCCCATTAGCTAAAGTGGTGCTTCAGGTTAAGAACAGTTTCAGGTTAAGAACGGACCTCCAGAACGAATTAAGTACTTAACCCGAGGTACCACTGTAATGGCCACTGACTTTAAAAGGGGTTCAACAAATTCGTAACAGATAAGACTATCAGTGGCTACTAGCCAGGATGACTATGTTCACTCTGCACTGTTGGGGTCAATATGTCTCTGAATATCAGTTGCTGTGAATCAATGTGGGGACAGTGCTGTTGACCTCATGTTCTGCTTGCATAGGCATCCAGTTGGTGACTGTGAGAACAGGATGCTGGAAAAGAAGATCCAGCAGAGATCTTCAGATATACTGCCTCCCTGGACTTTTGCTGCAGAACCTTCTGTGCTTAATCCTCAACTGCTTACATCCCATACCTTCAAAGCACATGACTTCCCCCAAGGAATCTTGGGAACTTTTATTAAGGGTGCTGGGAATTGCAGCTCCGTGAGGAGTAAACTACAGTTTCCAGGATTCTTTGATGGAAGCCATGTACTTTAACTGCATGATGTGTTACAGAGCACCCATCACTTCAGCTTTTGCTTGTGTTCTAGGAAGCTCCCTTGTAGCAGGTCACGTTATTAGTGCATCTAAGACAGTGTCGTTAGACTTCTGGCAGTGGCTCTCCAACGTCTATGGGAGAGGCAGAGATCTTTCTCATTATCCACTACCCATTTCTGTAAACTGGAGGTGATGGGAACTGAATTGGGGACCTTCTGCATCCACAACAAGTATAAATGGCACCTCCCCCAAGTCTAGTTGCTGTACTTTCCCATATAACCTCCTTTTAATTCATTTGTACTTCTCCTAGGGCCCTCGTATTTACGGGACCGGCTCTCCTGGTGTGCCCTGCAGAGGACCTTAAGGTCCATGAATAATCATAGTTTAGAGGTCCCGGGCCCTAAGGAAGTCAGATTATCCTTCACCAGGGCCAGGGCTTTCTCAGTGGTGGCTCCGACCTGGTGGAATGCTCTGTCCCATGAGACCAGGGCCTGTAGGATTTAACCTCCTTCTGCAGGGCCTGTAAGACAGAGCTATTACTCCTGGCTTTCAATTTGAATTTAGCCTGATCTTTTATTCCCCTTCCTTCCCTCCCCCTCCCCTTTTTATGAAGATTACCCACTCTGGGATCCCACAGTTAATTCTCCCCTGGCCTCCTTGCTGGCCCACATAGGACTAATTTAGCCAGCTAGCCCTGGTGATCATCTAATGTTTATTGGATGGATTTCCCCCTAAATTGATTTTAGAACTTTGAATTTATTGTTATTCACGCTTTTATACTGTATTTTATGGTGTTTTTTGTTATATCACAATTGTTTTAAATTTGTTGTTAGCTGCCCTGAGCCCGGTTTTCTGAATTGGGAAGCACGGGGTATAAATAAAAATTTATTTATTATTTACACCATTCTGCTCTGTCCCTTATTTCTCCCGCTCTGATAACTTCCGACCCTCTGCCCCAGTCTGTAACCACACCATGTCATCATCTGGGTCACTGTTTGACTTGTACATTTGAACGCTTCCATATTCTGCAAGGCACAACCAGTTAGGGATGTAGCGTGGGGGGGGGCAGGGGATGTAGCCCTGGCACACAATTTTTAGTGAACCAGGCACACCCATTCAGGGATCCCTGTTCCACTGCTGCTGGTTGCCAAGGTTGTCTTGCCACCCTGTGCCACCCTGCCTGCCAAGGTTGTCTTGCCACCATGTCCCCGGCCCCTTTGCTGAATGGCTGCCCTGTGGGGGCGGGCAGGCAAGCGGCACACAGCAACCCCACAAACCCTCCATGGTGTCAGTGCTGAGTGCTGGGCTGGCACAGCCAGTTTTGTTCACCTTCCTCACCCTGCCCCCAGTCCTGCCCAGTACGTGTGCATGCATGCACACATGCCCCGGGCGCCAGCAAAGGACACAACACCACTGCAACCATTCTCTTACAAAACACCTCTATGTTGTCTTTATTACTCATGCACTGACTGTCCAAACAAAGGAGTTTCGCTTCATGTCTTTCTCCCCCATGCTCACACTGTGATTCCTCAGGACGATACATACATAATGTCTTATCAATATTTCAGGTATTCCAACTTGTGCCTGACTTGTCCAGCCAATCAAAAATATATTGATGTCCAGAAATTATAAGAACAAAATGCTACTACAGCAGGCATCCATCGGTGTGAATGATATATTTTTACCTCAAGGGAACCTTCAGCTCGCTCAAAAAGAAACCTACTTGGTTTCAATGAGTCTGAGTTTGTCGTAAGTTTGCTTAAGATTCCAGTCCTAAAGAGGAAAATCCCACTGTTTCTACAATCTGGTGACCCGCTGCCTCCTATACACACCCCATCAGTCCTCAGAGCTGTCATTTGAATGGGCTACTGTGCATAGTTGCTAATGTTAGATTGCTTTTGTAGCTTAGGGATGTTTTGTTGTTTGAGTGTGTTGCCACTTGCTTTACACTCGCTACCTCCAAGCATATGATCATGTAGGGAGAAATATCGCATTTACTAAAAGTTCACAAACATACTTTGCAGTGATTTCCTCCACAGGAGTGACAGCACAAAGTACTGCCGCAATCGTGGAAATTGCTGCAACGGGGGACCAGTGTGCCGATGGCTCACGCAATACTTTTCCCATGCAATTACAGTTGCACATGTAGCCTGCAGTAATTGTGCTGAGAAAATGGCTGTGGAAATGGTTTCATTGTCATAAAGTTGAGTGGTGACCACCCGCAAACTTTCTTTACCTGCCTAGTATCTGTAGAATCCAAGTCTAACACAGCAGAAAAGCCAGAGAAGTCTTCTTCTTTATTACCAGTTTGTCTTATGCAGGGATCAGAGATAGTAGAAGGCCACTTTTCAACAGCCAAATTACCTTGGTCATACATTGTAACAAGGCTATTATAGACTACAATCCCTGCATAGGTACTCATGTATACGTCCCGCTGAATCAATGGAACCCAGTCACACACAAGTGACAGCAGGACCAAATCCATAATCTTATATTGCTCCTCAAAATACAATACAAATCACAACCTGGCCAATGTTTTCATTTTTTTAAAAAAACAACAACCATAAAATATTTAAGCCACAAGCATTGAGGACCTAGATGCCTGATTACAATAATAAGAAAACGACGAGCACAGTTTTACATGCTTTCAAACTGAAACTAGCATTTGCTACGAGAAGAGAAATGGCCTTACCATGCAATGCATCAGGAGGAGAAAATCACCGAGCATGCTGCAGAGATTAAGCTCAGCATGGCATCCAGATTCCCTTTGGAATGTGTGAAGATTGTCCAACCCATCCTTCCCAGCCAAGCGGACAAGTTTTCTCTAGGCTTGAATTCTTCACCAGGAGTCAGAGCTTTCAAGTGCATTGTACTTTCTTCATTGAGAGGTATGTTTCCTCCAGTTACGTTTCAGCTCTGCAATGCCATTTCCAATCAGCCTGGAGAGGTTCTTCATTCCGAGATCTGTGCTGTCATCAGAGACTCCAAAGGAAAGGGAGGAGGACAGAGAGAGAGAGAGAGAGAGAGAGAGAGAGAGAGAAGTATTTTAGTGAAGCTCTGGAGTAGCTAACCAAAAAGGAGGAGGCTGCATCTCCTTTACTCCACTGCAACAAAATTTTGCCCATCCCCCCTACAAAGAGGCAATTATTTTCTAATGAACAAACTTTCCCAATTCCCACATAGTGCATATTTTGTAATTGCAGCTCAGTTTTGCACTGCCGACAGATGACTCCCTCTGCTTTAAAAGAAGATTAAAACAAGAAACTCCCCGTTTCTCCTTTCCTAACCTGTGTTAGGTCAAGCGTTAGAAATTCTGCCTTCTCTTTAGAAAGCGGTTGGGATAAGAGAGGCGACAAATTCGCCGGAAAGGGGAAATCCTCCAGCCGAGAGAAAAGGCCGCAGGCTGATTCACTCTGGGGCTGCTTACTCTGAATTCAAAAGAGAGATGATCCAAAGGACTGTGATCCTTAAGAGAGGGAGTGATGGAGACGTGGGAGGGAATAACCAAGGTGATTGAGATTCTGGAGTCAGATGCTTGTTTATTTCCTTAACATCTGGTGGGAGGGTGTTCCACAGGGTGGGTGCCACTACCGAGAAGGCCCTTTGCCTGGTTCCCTGTAACCTCACTTCTCACAGAGAGAGAACCGCCAGAAGGCCCTTGGAGCTGGACCTCAGTGTCCAGGCTGAACGATGGGGGGTGGAGATGCATACATCTCAGGCATACGTCTTCTTATCATTGCTTGTTCCTTTCACTTGAAGATGCTGGAAATTTAACATGGGGCCCTGGCCTACTAACTCACTGCCACAGATCACAGCACTGATGCCTTGCCTCTGCCTGCTGTTGCTGCGCACCAACTCGGAAGAGTATTCAATAATAGAGTTTTGCCCAGATCTCCTTCAAACCTACTGGAAAGCTCAGACACAAATTAAGCCTTTGTAGTTAGGCTAAAAGCAGTGCTGCCTGGTTGGCGCTGACAAGTGACAGGTTCCTCTCACTGGCAGTTTCTCCATTTGTGGAATGCCCTCCCTATTATTTTATTTGTTTGTTTGTTAAATTCATGGAGAAAAGGCTATCAGTCTCTTGATACTATGTCTCTTGATATCAGTTGCTGCGAATCACAAGTAGGGAAAGTACATTCACATGCTGCTTGCAAGTTTATGTTCACGTATCTAATAATATGCATTCATTAAGTTGCAAATGAAGTAAATGTGAATGTGAGGCTCCTGCTCAGGTAAAACAGTTGAATAATTTGGAAGGACGTTCAAAGAATTCTGACTAAAATTCAGCCAAATTACATGGTTTGGCTCATCTGCCACCACTGCATTGCAGCCAATGGAACTTTACTTTCCAGATTTGGAAAGCCGCATTCAAAGCCCAACCACTGTAAGTATTTCAAGAGGAGTTTGCAGTATTTCTCTTAGACATTAGCCGGGTTCCATGGAGCTGCCTTAAATCATACCATTGGTTTTGTATTGTTAACTTTGATGGACAGTGACTCTCCAGAAGCTCAGGCTCTTCAACACCCAGTAGCTAGGGTTGAATGCCATCAGTCCATTTCTGGAGCTAGTCACTGTCACATGCATTCATTCATAAGTGGCTTCGCTGCTATTTCCACATTAAAATGCAAAAAATAACAATAATACAGGGGGGAAACTGCTGGAAAAATCACATTTAAACATGTACTTTCTCACAAAATAACAATTTCTAAACATAGTTTATTTCTAATATTTTCATATTTCATATTTAATATTTTTTCTTGAGAGTCCCATGGACTGCAAGAAGATCAAACCTATCCATCCTTAAGGAAATCAGCCCTGAGTGCTCACTGGAAGGACAGATTCTGAAGCTGAGGCTCCAATACTTTGGCCACCTCATGAGAAGAGAAGACTCCCTGGAAAAGACCCTGATGTTGGGAAAGATGGAGGGCACAAGGAGAAGGGGACGACAGGGGACGAGATGGTTGGATAGTGTTCGCGAAGCTACCAGCATGAGTTTGACCAAACTGCGGGAGGCAGTGGAAGACAGGAGTGCCTGGTGTGCTCTGGTCCATGGGGTCACGAAGAGTCGGACACGACTAAACGACTAAACAACAACAACAACAACAACAATATTTTCCTCCAACTCTACAATTCTATGATTCTATGATTATCTGAAACAGGGGTGGGTCACAGGATCTGTATGGTAGGCCAGATTCTTACCTCCACATTCATACCCCGCAGGTCAAGTTTGACACCTGATGTCACAATGACATCACGTGACCCATTTTTGCCTTTGCAGAGTGGGGAGGAAGTGTGCCGTTCTTTCCACACTCCAACAATAAGCTGATTGTCAGCACTGGGGAAACTGTGCACACTCTTCCCAAGTGCTGACAAACAGCTGATTGTTGCTGCCAGAGAAGTGTTGTGCAAGGGGCGTTGCAGGCAGTGCTGATCAGTAAAGCCTTTTTAACCCAAGACCTGCTTTTATTTGCCCAACAGCTTGCACCATATATGAATCTCCCAATACTGGTTTTCCCCAATGTCTTCATTTTCCCAATCTTAAATTTAGTGCTCCGCGTTTCTGTGGCATTTGCAAGAAGAAGAAGAAAATCCTCATGAAGATTCATCAGCTTTTAAGTGCAAAATTCTCCTAATAAACACATCATTGTAAGTACTTTTAACTAATAATGAACTAACACATTTCTGCAAGAAATTTCCCATGATAAAGTGCATTTTTGTATATTGCTTTCACTAACATATGTATTCTTCTGCACATACACGCCCAATATATACATTTGGTACATATTGTTTGACTGGAGAACCGCATTGCAAAATTCAGAGAAGTATGAATTCCAAAGGATAGCGACGTTTCACTTTGCGTGTTGTTTCAAGAAGTGTTAATTGGGAATTTCCCCATTAAAATGCAAACAAAAACTAATTTCGCCTCCATCTCTACTCCCCCACCAGTCACCTCAAAGTAAGGTTAAGTGCAACAAAACTCTACACCACACCCATGAGAACATCACCAAAATTTCACATACACACACATGCATACACACAAACGATAATATTCAAATGCAATTTATTTTTTTCATTAATTGATTGAAAAAGCTGTAGTCAGAGTGCTGAGAGCTGTTAGGAGACCCCTGTTTCCTGCTCAGAGCAACAATTCTCATAGTGGTTGTCAATTCCTCTTCCTCACAGAGAACTCTAGGAACTGTAACTTTCTGAAGGGACTGGTGGTCTGCATAGCTGCATAGCTGATTATTTGGTCTTATGAAGTGCCATGCATGGGTCAACTCACCTCAAAAACATACAGTCAGAAAAGATCTAGAACCAAAGTGACCAAGGGGGTGGAGTTACTCTCCTACGAAGAAAAATTGCAGTGTTTGGGACTTAAGAGGTGACGTGATAGAAGTTTATAAAATTATGCGTGGCATGAAAGAAAGTGGATGGAGAAAAACTTTTCTCCCTCCCTCACAACACCAGAATTCACAGACACCCAATGAACCTGGAAATTGGAAGAGTCGGGACAGATAAGTTATTTCTTTGCACACAGGAAGCAATGGTGGCCACCAATTTAGATGGCTTCCAAGGAGGATGAGATTAATTCATGGAGGAGAGGGCTATTGATGGCTCCTTGTCATGATGGCTATTCTCTGCCTCCACGTTGGAGGCAACAATGTTTCTAGATACCAGTTGCTAGAAACCACAGGAAAGGAGATCACTCTTGTGCTCAAATCCTGCTTGTAGGTTTCCCCCAGACATCTGACTGGCCCTAGTGAGAACAGGATGCTGGACTTGATGGCTTGATCCAGCAGGCTCTTCTTATGGTCTTACGTCTTTACAAGCATCAATGATCAGCTGATTACAAGATAACTACATGAAGACATAGCTTTTCTTGGAAAGCCCTTCTCAGGAGAAACGACAGCCTCCAGTCAGCAGCCCTCAAGAAGAACAAAGGAGAATTTGCCTCCATTCCTGGAATTTCCGCCGCCCTCTTGGAGAACCATCAGAACGTCTGCACCATTTCACAACTCTGTGAATGGGTCAGCAAAATGTGTGTGAGGGGTTGAGTTCATGCTCAGCATTAGTCCCTGACAGGGCTGGGCAGAGGTGGGGCAGCAGAGTACACTTGCCCGGGCCTCAGAGGGGTGCTGCTGGACTTACACAATCATGACAAGAATGCCCCGTGCCTCCTAGCCGACCGGGGACTCTCACCCTGGTCTCAGATAAGCTCTGCGTGGGCCGGGCCTGGGCCTAGGCCTGGAAAGTGTGAAAAGAACACACACGACTATGTTTTACAGTCATAGAGTCAGAGAATTGTAGAGTTGGAAGGGACTGTGTGGATCATTTAGTTCAACGCTCTGCAATGCAGAAATATGCAGCTGTCATACATGGAGGCTGGCAGTGCTATTTTTCTAGAAGAGGAAGTGCCAGAACTCACCATGAATGCCTCCCTTGTTGTTTTATAATGACAATGGCGCCCACCGGAGAGGTGCCAGAACTGAGTTCTGGTGAGTTCCGGCTGGAAAAAAGCTCTGGGAGCAAGGGGTGTAGGTTGGAAGTGATAGACAAGCTACCTCTCATGAAACTTGACTACCATTGTTCAACTTCTCATACAAATTCTCATGCCAGAAGGTGACACGGCACACAGTTTAGAAGCCACTGTCCTAACTAAATTGCACTTCAGTTTAGAAGCCAAGTTTTTGGAATGCTCTAGTATAACTCAGTCTCAGCTTTGAAGCAAAATGGAGTCAGGAAGTTGACGAGATTAGACTCCATCAGTCAATATCAGTGTACACCTGAAAACGTGAAAGGAAAAGAAGCATACCCTCAGCATTTAGAGATAGTGGCTGAAACTGCCGTAAAGTCTTCAAGCCTCCAGTGCTCAACTATGTATAGCATAACACTAAAACTAGAAAAAAGCAGTTCGGTGCAAAATATTTTACTGCAAGTGAGTCAACATGGAAAAGAAATGAAAAATTCAAAAAAAATGCAGAACACTTATCTTCTGAGTTAAGCAGCTGTGTTTAAATTACACTTACTGTTCAATACCTAATTATTTCATGAAGCTGCGGATCAAGCCGGGCAAGGAAGTATCACATACTTCTGCACATACCAACCACAGCCAGAGTTTGCTGACCTAAGTTACACTCCTAATAGTCAATTTCTGCAGTGTTTCAGTGCACTATTTATACTGCTTCCCTTGGCCGAACCTACTTCTGCTCCAGCAATGCTCCCTCAGGGGTGATCTGGAACAGCGAATGGCCATTAAAGGCTGCATGTGGATAGCAGAGGCATAATTTGATTGCAGAAATTCTGCATCCTATTTGCGCGCAGAGAAATTGTGCTGGGGATAGGGGCTTTCTGCCAAACTTCTCCAGAGAGAGGAGGAATTCTCCAACAGCTTCTCAGGGATGGGGTTCATCATCAGTATAGTAGCAGTTACAAAGCTTCTTCCTTTTTCCCCAAGTTGGTGGGTTTCCTAAGGTTGGTGCAGAAGCAGCGACTGCGCTGGCAGCCAGGCCATCATTTAAAATCCTCCACTGTGTCTTGGATCTCTCCCTGTTCTAAGGCAACTGTCACCAAAAGGGGGGAAAGAAGTGAATTCGGGGGGGGGGATCTGCAAAGCGGCCTCCTTTTTTCCAGGCGAGGGGTTGGGGAGAGAAAAGAGGAAATCTCAGACTTTTTCCTCAGAAAAACACCTTCTGGGAAATTTAAGATAAGCTCTCATGGATTAGGTGCCAGACCTGGGAATGGCTTCCCAGAATTTTGTGAGCTGATGAGGGTGAAATTAGATTATGGTGCAAAGAAAGAAAGAAAGAAAGAAAGAAAGAAAGAAAGAAAGAAAGAAAGAAAGAAAGAAAGAAAGAAAGTGCATGAGGATCTCCTTTTAAAAAAAAAAAGTTCAAAGCAGCTGCTAGGAACCTGCATAAGAATAGGTCCAAGATGCTGGGGAAAGAACAGTCAACACTTCTCCCTGTGCTGTTTTCCTGATCTAAATCACATCTTTCATGAGGGAGAGAACAGAAGGACCAGTATGGTATCTCTCTGTTTGTTGTAATAGGGATACTGACAGCTTTTAAGGGCATTCTTTAGTTTGGAGAAATGATGCAAGTGACTCCCCTTATTCTCTAGCAGGATATCCCCACATATCCCCATTTCCCTCACTTATAAAGCTGTTTTTAACTTCTTTTATTCTTGTTATTTTTAAAAAGAGTGGGTGATCTTCATCATATATTTCCAGTCTCATCTAGCTGTACCCATAGAACATTTATTCACGGGGTCAGATGTGCTTGAGTAAAGTCTGCCTTGAGCCCCTCAACTTGCCTGCATGGGAAATAAGGATAAAAGCAGGGCCTTAGTCCCCTGTAGATGGCAAAACAAAGAGGTCCCCCCTTTGATTACACAACTACCTTGGCAGGAAATAAAGTTAGCCATTCCTTTCACAAGCATTCCAAGAGGTTTGTTGGCGTGAGCATGCTTTTTGATGCAGCCTACTCTAATAGTGGCTCCCCTCTCTCCATCATGCACCTACTTACGAGATCCCAAGGGAAGCAGATGCATTGCACCATCAGCAACATGGGGCTGCATCAGCAGTGGGAGCCCCACGCAACCCAATGGGATCCATCAGCAAAGTGAACGTTGCAGAGGGCACTGGGGCAGAGCCCTCAGACCATGTGCTGGCGCAAGTGGCTTCTGAGCTAAGAGGTGTGCCTTAGCCTTCCCTGCTATGTTGCAAAGGTTCCTGCGGTGCATATTCCATCTCTCATGCTCCAGGCAAACACCACACCCACCACCCCTGAAGCAATGCAGAAACTAAGAGGGTGCCTAAGCAACCTTTGCAACATTGCTGAAGTTGCCTCTCTGAATTTCTGCAGCAGTCTCTCACAGGCAACAAAACATCTTACCCCATCAGTCAAATGCAAAAACGTAATAAATGTTGTAATCCTCGACCACTGTCTCTCTTCCCTTTCTCATGCACCCTTGTTTTGAGTATGGGGCTCCCATGTGCTCTCACCTCTCCTAATAGCACCACATATTGAGAGTTGTACATGAGGGGGGCTGTGTGTAGGAAAGGGTCTGAATCAGGCCCATAGCAATGGACCAAATTATATTATTCGCATTCCCATTGCTTCTTTTCTAAGTAGATTTTGTTTTTAATCTTATGAAGGAGACGTGTCAGTCTGCAGAAGTAATAAGGATGAATTTGCAGAATTTCCATTCCAAACATCATATAAGAATCAGATTATCTCTGAATATGATGCGGTGATGTATTTGCACATCCTCTGTTTGTTGTCGAAGCTCATTGGGGAAATGATCATCTTCCTGTACAACCATGTAATAAGACAGGACATGCAATGTGCGAATTCACTGAATCTCAAGAGTGATCATCTGCCTGAAATCCTTTTCACCCTAAGCAGATTTGTACTTCAAAAAAGAGAGAAAACTCTCCAGTAAGTTACCCAAATTAACAGTTGTAACTGCTGCATAAATACACACACATTATTATTGTTCTTTAACTTAGTGCAAATGCCCAAAAGGGAGAGAGAGAGAGAGAGAGAGAGAGAGAGAGAAGAGAATTGCATCAGGTTTCTGGAGAAGAAAACAGCTATCCTCTCAATTAGTCTTATTAAAGTTTAGTTAAGCTCCCCATTATTGGCTTAAAATCATGAACAGGAAAATAACTTCTCTTCAAGTTTCTATGCACTGAAAATTGTAGAAATTTGGGGATATCTTCTTTCATTGGATTAGCTTCTGGGAAAGTATACGTGTGTGTGTGTGTGTGTGTGTGTGTGTGTACATTTCAAATAATGCAGTCGAAAAAATCAAAACATGTTGCAAGGCTGAGACTTTAATATTAATGCTCTGGCTGTCAGTTTTGTGCTCTGCTCCGTTTCACTGTGCTGAATAGTATTATTCAGGCTTCCAAAGTTTATTGAAATGATTTGGTTGAGTACTAGATGTAAAGGGATGGGAAATGGAATTTAGGAAATCGCTTTTCAAAAATGCTTTTAAGGAATCTGTGCTCATGAAGAGCGTGAAAGGACTTAATTTTTCTGAAGCACTGTTCTGTGCAACTGTTTTCATCTTCGACAAACTTTCTTGACTGAATCTTTTTTTTTCTTTTTGAAATGTCTTAATTTGATGCAAGACATTTGGAAATTAGCAGAATAGTGATACTAAGGTTGCAGTCCCAAGCACAATCAGCATGATGCTGAGCACAATGGGACTTAGCATGCCTAGGATTCCGGCACACTTTTTTGAAAGTAAGTAGCAGCAATACTGCTAGGATTTACTTCTAGGTAAATGTGACTAGAATCAAACATGTGAGGTCACGGTCAGGAAACTTCCATGGGACTAAACCTGCTCCACTGACTGGTTTGTGGAATAGTTTACTCAGAATCCCAGCTGATGTCTATTAGGAAATAAACCATGCCAAAGCAATCACGTTCCTACAGTACATCCAGATTGCTGCTTTCATAATTGAGAAATATGATATGACATGATGCGACTCTTGTTTGCTTGCCTATATCCCTATATTCCACAGTTAATCAGCTACTAAGTTCATATTAAATTCTTCCTATTTTAACATCTCACTTCCTTTCCTCTGCTGATCATGAGGTGGCTTTTTAACGTGAGCCCTCCGTGAGATGGGGTGCTAAATGGCTTATGCGGTGCAGAAACGATAACAGCTTTGCCTGCTGTTAATTAAGCATACAGCTATTCATATATTTTAGTTATAATTTTTCTCTGTCAGCATGCTTGTGTGCAGATCGCATAACTAAAATGCAAACCAGTATTCGAATTAATTACTTTCCACAATCAACTATACTTTCTCCCTTGTGGTATCGCTATAAAATTAATAATTTTGCTCAACACTGCCTCTGGGTTATTTTCCTAAAAGGCTATCCTAAAGATTCTTACACCTTTAAGATTCATATTGAAAACCATGAAAGTGCAACTAAAAAACTGAGGTGTTTTAATTCGAGTGGCATTGGGGTGTGTGTGTGTATATATATTATACACATATATATATGCGCACAAGAGTAATTTTCAATTTTTCTTAGCAAAAGAACCAATGATCACCTGTTATTGCAAATAGCATTCTTATTAAGGCATTATTAGCACATTCCTCACTCATGCAGTAGTTCTGTAACTGATCCAAGTTGAATAGCCCAGATTAACCATAAACCCATTAAGAATCTTCATGTTGATCCAGAGACTACATTCATCTTATCAGCATTTAAAATGCCACCGAATAGAAACTAGCTAATGCGGGGGGGGGGGGGGGGAGAGAATCCTGGTGAAACAAGAACTTGCTGGTTGCAAAAAGCAAAGATTGAGAAAACGAACTGGAAGGATGTGCTTGAGCAATCACACAGCCTGTTCCCATGCATGTTTATTTGGAAGTAAGTCCCACTGACTTCACTGGGGCTTACCCCCACATCACTGTGCAATAAGGATCCAGTCAAAATTTGCCAGGATACTTGTAAATACAGACCTCCTCTTAAGATAAGGTCCACCTTTGTAACATGTTTGCTGGGCAGCTGTGCCCAAGTTCTCAGAATGGAAACAGCTAAAATGTATTAATGAAAAACGTACAACTCGGGCATGAATAATCTGTCTTGCAAGTATTGCCGAGATAGCACTGTGCAGCTAAAAACTAGCGTCACGCAATTTCCTCCAAAACAACAACTGCCCCCCACTCAAACCCCCATTCAGTTTTTTTTAGTTTTTTTAAAAAGAAGAAGAAGAAGGGTCTTAAGACTCACATATTCCACTTGGAAGAGATGTTAAAAGTTTAAGCCATCGTCTTTTGCAGTGCTGCTCATCCTGTCCACAGAATCAGCCCTTCACATTTATCTTACGTGGAAAGGAAATAATGACATTCTCTCCAGCTCTTATCCTCCTTGGTAAGTGACAGCTCTTTACGGATGCCAGCCAGCCTTGCTGAAGTATTATTGTAATCCATCCGAGCTTCCCAAGATTGCTCAGGAGATTGAGTCTGAAATATACATCATCTTTAGTTTCGCAAGCTGCTCAGTGCTTTCCCCCTGCCGTGTGCCTTCCCCTCCTGGATGCCTGGATATCTCAAACTGGATGTAGCACAGGCTTGGCTATTTATACAGCGTTCTGCACTGCCTGCTTGGAACACAGAAGGAGGAGAGCAAATGAAACTGAACTCTTCAGAGATGAAAAATGCTCTCACATGCCCGGGCATTTCCCATATCAAATGGTATTCATTTTTTTCGAAGTGGAAGGCAGCCCCTGGGTTCAAATAAACCCAGGCAAGCACATAGATATATATATATATACACACACACACAAATGGTTTGGTTGGTTGGAGAAGCAATACGGAATGATACAGAGAAACAAGCAGCAGCTTAGTGAGCATCAGGAAGGGATGGGCATCTTGTGATTGCTTTGAATTTAATGTTCCTCAAGGGGAGTTTGTTTGTGGGTTGTTGTTGTTTAAAAAAGAGACCTCTACAAATACAGCGAAACCTGTCTCATGGAGTGAAAATCTGTTGGCTCAGCCAAGTTCTTCTGGCAAAGTTATACAGCATGTGTATATTTACTTGTGCTGATTTGCTCGGCATTACAGCCACGGTTCAACAACAACGGGATTAACTCACCAGATGTATCTTTTCTCCCTCCTCGAGAAAGATGAAGAAGAACAGGATCTGGGGGGGGGGAATATTGCCCTGGTCCTGATTTGCTGAAGGCAATAAGGCCAATGACCAAAGGCAGGAGGACCTTTATTCTGTGATAATAAGGGTCAGACGAAAGGCCAAGATGCCCTGACATGATTCCTGGTAACATTTTGATAGCCAATTCTTCTATCCAGCAGAGATTACATTTTGCACTGTGCCTGAGGGCAGTGGGCTAGCTTATTTGTTAAGGGGCAGGGGAACACCCTGTCTTCCAAAAGAAGGAAAATGCTCAGGGACCTCAGGAAGAACAACTGAGGGGCTCTCACTGCTGTCTTCTCACTTTCCCCAACATAGGAGCCAACTCCTAGGGGTCAAAGTCCCTTTGCCTCCCTCCCCCAATAAAATATTTGAAGGCCCCCCCCAAAAAGTTGATGGACATTGCCATTCAAATGGTGTTGCATGCACTGCATCATGTGATCGATTATGCAGGGCGGGACTTGCCTGCCCCCAATATTTTATTCAAGTTGGCGCCCCTGTCCCCCAAGATCTGCCACCTGAGGCAGGCCACCTCACTCTGCCTAATGGTAGGACTGGCCCTCTGACCTCCTGCTACATCAAGAAAGCAACTGGAATCCAATCCCAGCATTTTTAATTTGCCAGTGCAGAGCCACATGCCAGTGTGGTTCATTTGATCTCCACTGTGCAGGAAGAGAAGAGGACCAGTGTGGTCTGAGGGCTGGACAGGCCGGATTCATACCATACATGCACATCCGCTTTCTAGTGGGGATGCGGTTGGCGCTGTGGGTTAAACCACAGAGCCTAGGACTTGCCGATCAGAAGGTCAGTGGTTCGAATCCCTGCGACGGGGTGAGCTCCTGTTGTTCAGTCCCAGCTCCTGCCAACCTAGCAGTTCGAAAGCACAAAGTGCAAGTTATCTTCCGGCGGGAAGGTAAATGGCGTTTCCGTGTGCAGCTCTGATTCGCCAGAAGCGGCTTAGTCATGCTGGCCACATGACCTGGAAGCTGTCTGCGGACAAACGCCAGCTCCCTCGCCCAATAAAGCGCGATGAGCGCCGCAACCCCTGAGTCGATCATGACTGGACCTAATGGACAGGGGTCCCTTTACCTTTTTATCCACTATAAATTTAAAGCCAATGTGAAACTTGACTTTCCTTAAGGAACGAACCTTGAGAATTGTATATTCTAGTAGACAGCCCTACCCTCTTTTCAGAACTACAGTTCCCAAGATCCCTTGCCCAGATGGCTGCAGTGCATTTAAATTTATAGGGGGGGCATCAAAATAGGTAGCAACAGCAGTACACATAGCTGAAGAAGCCCTTTCTTGGGGTGCATTCCTGTATTGTTCAGGACTGTAATGGCTAACATGGTGTGCAAGGAATGACCCAGGAGTATGGATATCTTTTCTCTAAAGGCATCTCCATAAGGTACATTGGGCAGAAGTCATGTGACTATACAGCCTCAGCTGGTCGTAGACTGATAGACTGGAGAAGACCAGAAGAAGCTAAAGTCCCCCATATACGTGGACTAGGAGCACTGAATCACCAGTTCAGAACCATTTGTTAGCTTGAACATGAACCTCGGGAATGTTCTTACCTTCTGAAGCACTTCCTGAGCTGGATCTCAGTCAACATAAAAACCGTGTTGCCTTCTTGTTTCAAAAAGGAAAGCTGTTGATTCTTCTGTGCACAATCAACATCTGTTTGCAAGTGTTTGTAAATACACTTTGGGATATTAAATGCCCAGGCACATGCATAGGTGAGATAAGTGTGATGTATTTGTAGTGTGAGATCACTGCCAATATAGCAAAGAGGAAATGCCAGTGTCTGAGTGCCAGTGCCAGTGTGAAGGAGAGATTCTGTTCATTCCTTTCTCAGTCACATGTGTTCCAGTGCTGGGTTGGAAAGAAGGAGAAGGGGGGGGGGGAGAGAAAGAGAAAAGGAAAAAGGTATTCACTTTCATAAGTGTATACATAAAAATTGCTTCCTGGATCAGGCCAAGGTTCATCTGGTCAAGTATTCTGTTTCCAGCAGTGGACAGCCAGGTGTCTCTTGAAAGAGCATAAGTAGGGAATGAAAGTAATAGCTGAATTTCGGTGTTAAGCAACTCTGGACATGAATGAATACAATCTTTCTGCAAATGCTAAAGGGGATGAGAATTTTTATAGTAATTTTTATTAATTTTCATTTACAGCAATCCAATAAAAGTCACATTAATACAATACCAAATTATAATACAATTATTAAAGCCAATTATCCAATGCCAAATCAAACAATTTGCATGACTTCCCGTGCTCTGGATTTCAGGGGGTGTTGTTCTTATTCCATCCATCTCCAAAACTCTTAATTGGCCCAAATGCAACAGTTCCGATCTTGATCCTTTATTTTAACAGCCACTGATATGATGACTTTCATTCATATTTAGATGTTCCATATCCATTAATTTTGCAAGGGTTTTGTTTTTTTCCTGTGAGGGGGATGAGATTTGTGTTTGTGTTTGTTCACCATCCCCCTGCCCAACGTTTGAACCAACAGGAGAAGCTAAAAATGCTAATGTTTCAATTTATGATTTGCTTCAGTTGTGAACTTTACATTTAACACTATTTTGTTGTTGTTGTTGGCCATCCAGAATTTCTTCTGAAAAACAAGTGGGAGATAAGTTTATAACTAAAGAAATAAAAGTAGAGAGCTAAAGTAGCCCTTAACAAACAATACATGGCGGTACAATCCTATATGTGGCAACTCCTATAAGCTCAGGTAAATGTGAATCTACAGCTTTAGGCTGCAATCCTAAACACATTTTGAGAAACACTTCAATGAAGCCACCATACTTCCATTTCAGTCGAAATGAAATAGTGGGGACTGCCTGAAAGCACTTCTCAAAAGCACTGTTTGCAGCAGCTGTCCCCTCTTCTTCATTTAAAGGAGAAGCAGGCAGCTGCTGCAAACAGCACTTTTGCAAAGCCTTTGAGACATCCCTACACTGCACACTCCCAATTTAGGCTGAAACGAGCACACGGGCCTGTTTCATAGCCTTGCAACTATCCCCATACTCTCCTATTAAACCTCCAAGACTAGGAGTTTAAAAGAGGAGGGCAAGACTTGCAAAGGTGCTCATTTGACAGGTAAATGGCCTCACTCACCTGTCATATTTTACCCTCAAGGCAAAATAAGGATTTAGCCTGTGGAGTCACAAAGCTTCCTCACCCCTGCTGCAGGGGAATAACTTCCCCAAGGAATTGTATCATTGATATCACAGGCATTACCCAATAGGGTCCTGAGACAGTCACACACTCACCTGACAGGCAAGATTTCAGAAGCAATATCTGTGCTAGTGAAGGGGCTGTTGGGGAATTGCATATAACTTATTTATAAGATTTTTGGAGGTGCACATTCATTTTGTAAAATGGATGGAAAACAAAGCAAATGAGACCCATTTGTTTCATTTGTCTTAGTTATGGGAACAGATGGGGAAGCAAATGAATGAATGGAAATTCATTTTTCATTCATTTTGACCATTTTATCCCCTCCCTCCCAAAAAACTATTGGGATGAAAACAGTCTGGAGCAGCCGGAACAAGTCACAGAAAGGTGACGGGTATCGGAAACTGACACATTTGCTTATTTACAAAATTAATACCGCACTTTTCAAGAAAGCTTCTCCGCAAAGTGGCATACAACGATATTGAAAAGCACAAGAACAATACAATATACAAGAATAACGTATTCATTCCATGACCAAGATAGGGATAAATCCAACAGCCAACAATAAGCTGTGTGCAATTCTGGTCACTCCTCCTCAAAATTGGATATTATAGAGTAGAAGCAGGCTTGGAAAAGGGCAAGCAAAATGATCAAGCAGGTGGAGTGAGCAAAGGTTGCAGCGTTTGGGACATTTTAGTGAAAAGGTGACCAGGGGTAAGTACCTTAAGTAATGATAGAAGTTTATAAAATTATGCATGGCATCGAGAAAGTGGGCAGAGAAAAGCTTTTCTCCATCTGTCATAACACAAGAACTCATAGATGTCCAATGAAGCTGAAGGTTGGAAGATTCAGGACAGAGAAAATAACTTCCTCCCAAGGAACGTGATTAAACTATGGATCTTGCGCCCTCAGGATGCAGCAGTGACCACCAACCAAGATGGCTTTGAAAGGCAATTAGACAAATTCATGGAGGAGAGGGCTGTCAATGGCTACAAGCCATGATGTCTACTGCATATTTGGAGGCAGTAATACTTCTGAATACCCGTTGCAGGAAACCACTGGAGAAGACAGCGCTCTTGTGTTCGAATCCTGCTTGAGGGTTCACCACAGGCATCTGGTTGGCCATTGTGACAACAGAATGCTGGACTAGATGGGCCACTGCCTGATTCAGAAGTCTGTTTATGTTCTTCTTGAGAAGCTCGTTCAACCTCATCCACCTCTAAACAGCTGAGGAGTTCCATAGCCTCCCCAAGGAGAAATTCCAACAGCTGTCGGAAAGTGAGGAAACAAGGTCTCTGGTGAGGTCTCCCAACCATTCTACTAATGCTAGGCAAGGTAAGAAGGAAGGGATGGCAGGAGTTGTGG